AGGACAATGGAGATGACAGGGATGGGACAGGATGGAGGGGGCTGCAGGGCCACAGCAGCTCATTAGCAGCAGTATATTTACAAGATTCCAGTATGATTGAGAATGGGTTTGGCCTAATTTGTTTGGGGTCCTTCAGATGGAGGGAGGCTTCTGATAATTCCCCATGGGGGACCACTCAGTGTGGCACCGTGTCCAGACGCACAGCCACCAGGGGCTTTGCCTACATCCCACCAGCTGTGGTGACCCCAGAGGAGGGCAGGGTGGTTTCTGCTCACCCACATCCCTCCTAAGGGTACTCTCCTGGCCTGCCCTACCTCAGGAAAGCCTCCCAGCAGCTCATGCATGGGTATGGTCCATCCAGCCTCAGAAAACCATCCCCTCCTAGGGGCTTTTAGGGTAGAGATGAAGAAATCCAGTCCACATAGACTACAGGACTTAGCTAAGGCCTCCCGGCTAGCAAATGCTGAACCCAAATTCTTTATCACTATAGCTTTCCTACCTGCCTTGACCAGGCAGGGGTATTTGGAAGAGCTTAAACACCTCAAGGTGAAGTTCCTATTCAGGCACCCTGAGAGCTCTTTCGGACTTGCTGTGTGACTTAGGATAAGTGACATCACCTCTCTGGGCCCAAGCTTCCTCAGTTCTGAAGTGGGCATGATGATTGCCTAGCTCATAAGGTTTTTGTGAGAAATAGACAGGAAAAGTCCAGTCGTCCAGTCCATGGAAGCTTCCGGCAGTTTCTGGCATGTGACATGCTCTGTGTAAGTGCCTCTTGTCATGACTGTCATCAGCAGAAACATCTGTAACCCACTTGCCACACCTCGTGGGCCATATCACATCTGAATCTGTTTACCATGGTGGGGACATTTGGGGGCCTCTGTTTGTCTTTGGGTCTGCTGACTGGATCACAAGTGCATCATGGTGTCTTGCATTAGTGTCCCATTGTGGTCACTTTTATTGTCTCCCTAAAAAGTGGTCAAGCACAAGGACCTGAGTTTGACCCCCAGTACCCCCCCCCAAAAAAAAGTTGGTCACATGAGAATAGGAGTGTGCCTTGAGAAGGCACGGCACTCTCAGGCCTCAGATCCCTTTCCAGCTGGGGGTCGTTGGCCTTGACCTTCTTCTCTTTCACCTGTGATTCTGGCTGGTGGCTTTCCAGAGGTGGCCCCGTCTCCAGCTCACCGTTCATGAAGTAAGACTGTGGGCACTTTTGGTGTTAGGTGACGCCAATGCCAGTGGCTGTCGAGGAAGGGAAAAGTGGAAGGGGTAACAAGTGGTTGGCTTGGGGAGTTACCAAGTTCAAGGTTCCATTGGGTATATGGACAGAAGGGCTGATGGACACGTGAACAGTAAGCTGTTGGTGGGCTCAAAGGCCTCCTTTCATTGGTTATTTGTCTCTGCTTTTCTTTTTCCCTTCTCCATGTGAAACAGCTTCACTGAGAATCTGTTACCTCATCAGCTCTTGGAGAGAAGGAACCTGATTTTGAATTTCTTTGTAGCCCTCTTCAGGCCTTGGGCATTGATTGCAATTGATCCAGACTTCAAGATAGCTTGCCTGCCAACAGTCTTCTCTCACACAAAGGATTGTTTATTGCTTACTGAATAGTTATTGGAAGGACATTTTGTCATTTCCGAGACCCAGATATGATTCTGAGTTGCTAGCAGGCACACACAACACCCCAGCGATGGATTTTGGCAGTTTTGCTGTTTATTTAGTGGGCCATCCCCTCCTGGTTCCCTGAGCATCTTTCACATCTAGAATCGGTTCTTTTATCCTCACAAACTTCCAGTTTATTTGCAGCCTGGGAGACCAGTGTGGAGGCAGGAAATGTGTCTGGTTCTTTATGTTCCATGGTGGCACAGGAAACCAGGCTCTGAGCTGATAGCTCCTTTGCTGGGCCACAGAGAGCAGCGTGCCTGGCATCATGGCACTGAGCACCTTGCAGGAATGAGGGGTGCCTTGTATGCCAGCCCCACTGCAGGGTGCAGGACATGTGTATGTGAATATCCTCAGGGCATCAGGCCACAGTGGAAGGTGGCTCATCTTCATCCACACTTCTGATCCCTCCCTGGGTTCATCTGCCTTGTCAGACATTGAGTTTCTGACTGGAGTAGCGTCTGTGTCATTGTCTGAGCCTGCTCTGCCCAGAGGATGCTTAGAACATCAGTTGCTCATCTTTCCATTTACCCAACATCGATGAGCATCTTCTGTATATATGAGATGATAAGCTGGACATACAACGTTGAGGTTTAGATCTAAATCATCCTCCAAAATCTCCATTGAAAGTGGGGGTTTGGAAGTGACCATGTCATGGGGACCCTGTACTCATCAGAGGATTCATCCGTGGATGAGTTCAGAGCTGAATATGATTCAGAAGCTGGGGCTGGTTTGAGGCGGGTCACTGGGGCGCATTCCTGTTCCCAGCTCCTCCCTTCTGTCTCTGCTGCCTGACAGCTGTGACGTGTGCACTTCCTCTGCATGCTCTCTTGCTCTGCTATTTCTGCCTTGGACCCAAAGGCTTGAGACCCTGAGACCCACACTCCAGAAAAGGGACTGTTAGCCAGGCAAATTTGGAGCTCTGGCTGTGCAGGAAGCAGAGTCCTGGCTGGGTACTCGGGGCAGAGTCTGAGTTGGGGGAAAACTGGGGATGCATAAAAGAGAGCAAAGAAGCCAGAATGGAGAATGAAGGCAGCAGGCAAGCAGACTGAAACTTCATCCAGGAGTGCTTTATCTTCTTATGGAGCTCTCCAAGGCTCTGTGTCACCTGTTCCTTACTGGAAGCCTGGGGCTGGGTACAGTGTGATTATTCACCAGGTTTTTGTTTTGTTTTTTGCAGCACTAGGGATCGAACTCAGGGCACTGGAACCGATCTCCATCTTCAGTCCTCTATATTTTAGTTTTTATTTTGAGACAGGGCCTCACTAAGTGACTAAATTACCAAGGCTGGGTTTAAACTTGTGATCCTCCTGCCTCAGCCTCCCAGAATTCTGGGATTATGGGTGTGCACCACCATTCCTGGTTTATTTCAGTTTTTCAGATAGAGAAACTGAGGTATAGAAGAGGTGATGTGAGTTGTTGGCCCAGGGTCATGTGGCCTGTGTGTAGCATTGATCTTTGCACTGCTACCCCAGTGACTTATTCTTGGCCACCTGGACCCATGAGGACCCCATGCCCTAAAGGCTTTTCTGTTTTCTCCGGCTTGACGTCCAACTCTGTCCTGCACAATAGCCTGCCCTGTGCCTGTGGGTGGAGGAGGCAGTGGGGAGGGGCAGTGCCATCTTCTTCCCAGGTTCGAGGCCCAGAGGCTGGTCAAAGCCCTGGTCCACAGAAAGCAGCCCAGCAGTAAGCTGGGGGTGGGCTTCAAGCCCTCACATGCACAGCCTGCCCAGGAACAGGGTGAGCTACAGCACCTTCAGGATCGCCAGGCTCCGGATTTAGGAGGGGACCCAAGGACCTCTAGTTCACCCTTGTGCCTTAGTCACCACCCTGTCAATGAGATGCTCCCCACCAATAGACCGGCCACCTGTCAGCCTCCCTTCTAATCCCCTGGCATCCCCAGAAGTGGATTTACAGCGACAAAGTAAAAATGAGGCCGTATGATCAATGGATCCCTGGACTGTCTCCTCCAAGAGACACCAATGTATATTGTAACAAAACTTTATTTTCTTTTGAAAATTGCCTCCTTGATTAATATGGCCCGACACAGCCCAAGCTGTTCAGCATTAAAAACAGCTGTATTTCTCCAGCTCCCTCTTCAGGACTCCGTCCCTCTCACTCGATCCCTCCGTCTCCTTTCTTTTGTTTTGCTCCCTCCTGTGTTGGGCCGTATTCTGTGTTGTCTCACATGGGAGAAAAATGCGTTAAAATGTGCAAATCTCCATACCTCGGTCTGCTTCCTTTCTGCTTGGTATTTCTGACGTGGCTGAGACCAAGTGTGAAATTCCTCAGTGTACTCTGCCAGGAGTCTGGGTGCTTCTGTACTGAGCATTGGAGACCAGGCTCCCCTATATCACCTGGAGCCCAAAGAGGGCCCCGTCTGGGGAGCAGGAGTTTATCCTTGAGACACTTGTCTTCATGCATGCATGTGGGAGTGGCTGGCTACTGGAAAGCAGGACTTCAGCAAAGAGCTGCTCCTGCCTGCAGAGGGGGTCAGTACAGTGGGGTGGGACCAGCACTACAGCCCTAGCCCTCCCCTTTTAAATTTCAAGACAGAGTCTGTTTATATCAGTGTTGCTGAGGCTGGGTTTGAACTCAGCGATCCTCCTGCCTCAGCTCCCCCAGAGTGGTGGGATTACAGGTATGTGCTACCACACCCAGATTGCCTTTATGCTGGTGTTTGGCATGCTTCTTAATTCCCTGTTCTAGAACAGTAGCTCCCTGAGCACAGGGAGCTCTAGCATAGTTCCCTGCCCTTAGTTCGGATTTTTCCCCAAAGATCTGAGTACAAATACACTATGTGGGAGGTGAAGACAACTTTGTAGGGGAGACAGGAAATAAGACCCCAGGGAAAGGAAGATGTTCCCCAAACAGTGTTAGGTAGATTGTTACTGTGGTGCTGGGCCTTAATCCTGCTGGGGGATTGAAAGAGAACCTTCTGGAGGGGTGCGGGAGCTGGGTATTACCCATCAACTCCCAGTGATCTTTAGACAGAGCTTTGCAGGCAGGGTGATTGCTTAGGCAGCAGGAAAGGATGTTCCAGGTGAGGGAGAATTTGGTAGCACACAGGTGATGCAGTAGGTACAGGGAGATGTGTGCTCCAGATGGGTCTTTTTTATCTTTCCTCTTCAGGGGTTGGGGGAATTAGGGGAAGTAGGCTTCTTTGATGCTGTCCTCCATGGGGTCCATTCTCAGGTCTTCCCAGGGAGATGCTGAGAGAGCCAGCTGATCTTCTCACCTTACGAGGACCCGTGTAAGGATGCAGGTAATATCTCTCCCTGGGTCCGCAGCAGTGTTGCCTGCAAAAGCTGCCTCTAACCCACTTTCCCCACTCCCTCTCCAGGTGCAAGGAGCTCAAGTACTCCAAGGAGCTGCCACAGATCTCCATCATCTTTATCTTCGTGAACGAGGCCCTGTCGGTCATCCTGCGGTCGGTGCACAGTGCCATCAATCACACACCTACCCACCTGCTGAAGGAAATCATCCTGGTGGATGACAACAGTGACGAAGGTATGGGGCCTGAAACGCGCGCACAAGGTCATGCAGTTAGCAGGATAGAAGAGCCATTTTCCTTCCCCAGAGGATTCAGAGGAAGGGAGCTGTTTTAGAGGAAGAAGTCCAGGCAGACACTGGCTCATTATTCCCCCAGACCCCTTAAGAATGAATACATGGCTAGGCATGGATCTAGACCTGTTTCCCTTTTCACATCACCTAAAGTGGATAATAGAGAAGGGCTGAATTCTTCCTTTGCTGACTCCAACCACTGTTTTTTCGTAAGATGTAAATAAAAAGTTTGGTCCTGTGTTGGGAACTGTTCATCTTGAATCAAAATCTCTCCCAGGACCACTGTGCCCAAAATAATGCTAGGTAGAAATGAGAGGCATCTGCAGGTCTTTTGGAATTCAACACTCCTTAGGAATAATAGATCATTGAAGACATACAGATAGCAAAGATTGGATGGTAATAACAACACTCCCCAGAGGTCCTGGGAGACAGTCAGACAGCAGTGTGGCATGGACGTGTGGTAGAGGCTGGTGTTGTGCACTCTGCCCTTCTTTGGCTCATAGCCAACACAATGCACTCTGCTTGCTGTTGGGAAAACATCATAAGCTCACAACAGTTACAAAAGCTAGAGAACGAGTCTGCCTGATGGCTGAGAGGCTTATCCTCTGAGCCACTGCAGAATTGGGAGTGGACTCTACCCCTAGCTGTCAGAGCTAAGGAGCAGAAGGAGGATCTCCCTGCGGGAGAGAAAGTGAAAGGGTAGATAGGTTCAGGTCCTGTTTACAGCTTATTTTCAAGAGGAAATTCTCACTTTGGAGCCAATGTCCCCTTGCCCTTTTAAACTACCAGTTTTCCCCAATGGCAGTATACCTGGACCCTGGTACCTTCATCAGGGCCACCAGTTTGTGAGGACTGGTCTTTAGGTGCATTTTCACACCCCTATCTCTCCCTCTGTGTTAGTCATATTCTCACTGAGACACAACACCAAATTCCCACAATATAAAGGAGAAGAGGTTTAATTTGGTTCATGGTTTCAAGGGATTCAGTCCACGGTCAGTAGAAACATCATGGCTGAAGGAAGGGTATAGTGGACCAAAAAGCTGCTTAGTTCCTTGCAGCTGGGAAGCAGAGCAGGGAGCAGCACCAGCAAGGAAAGGGGTCGGGGACTAAATATAATCCCCAAGGTCACACCTCCATGACACACCCAGAAGTGTGCTTTCCTAATCCTTTGGACAATTTTTCATCAGTTAAGCTGACGTATTGCAGTTAACGGTCACAGCCTCTATCTTGGGCCATTTGCTCATCCGTAGATACTAAGCCTAACATGAGTGGTCTTCTTACGAGGAAGACAATCTGAGTGGAGTATCTCAGCCTGATGAGCCTGGCTCACTGCCCCCTTCTCTACAGCCCTTTGTACACCTTCTGCAATCCACTTACCTCAACCAATGAAGGGTTGGGAAATGACCCTGGGGGACAGGGCACAAAGCAAAGCAAGAAAGGCAGGATGAACTGTCGGTGGGTTAATTCTCAGTGAGCACTCACTGCCGGGATGCTTCTCCCAGGAAGTCTCCACAGAGAGAGGTAGAAGGTAAAGGCAGTCTCATCTGGAACCCCACGTCTGTGAGAGGCAGCGGGTGTGTGCTACAGGCTGGGGATTTAGACATTCAGTAAGTGTCTTAGTCTGGGCTCCCCCAGAAATAGACTCTGAAACAAAGATTTGAGTGCAAGTAGTTATTTGGGTAGTGAAGAGAGTACCAACTGGGACTTGGGAAGTAAGACTGGGGCGGAAAGATGTCCCCAAAAAGTTGGTTACTGTGGCTACAGGAGCTGAATTCTTCTGGAAGATCCTGTGAGCTGATATACAGCCCCCCACCAAATACAGACCTGCTCCAGGGTGAGAGAGCTGGAGGTATTTATACACCTTCAGCATCAGATGCACCAGCGTGAGAACCTTCTAGAACTTACCTCACTGGAAGTTCTCCTTCAGGAGGGCTGGAGATCACTGAGAATCTGCCTTTCTGACAAGTTGCAGGTAGCTGTGGGTACCACACTTTGAGACCCTGAGGGTTAAGCCGTCAAGCTCTGAGGCTGTTCTAAAAGCAGCACTTCAATGGTTCACATGTCAGGTCCAAGATGATCAGTGAGTTTGGAAAGCGGGGAGTCAGGCTGAAGTAGGATAGAAAAATAAAAATGGTAGAAAGGAGAGAAGAAAATCATAATTTTAAATATTAAAAAATGCAGTTTCAGGAGACAAAACTAGTTTTTAAATTTGGGGGGAGGATGGGCCATTTCTTTTACTTGCAAAGGGTCCATCTTCTGCTCTTCTTTCTCATTTGCAAAATGAGTTTTTCCCCATCGAGGGGTGATGGCTACCGCCCCTTCTTTAATGTGTATTTCCTAAGTAAATCCTGCACCTGCCTCTTACTGACTAGTCCTGAAAAGTCTTTTTCTGAGATGAGAGTCAGAGATCATATCTTTCAGGTAGTGTGGGCTTAAATTCTTCACTGCTACTTCCAGAACTTCCCGGGACCCGTTTATCCTCCTTTGTTGCCTCCACACACCCAAGGGCCAGGAATTGGCCATCTGAATGCCACTGTCTTCTCCCATTCCGGGCTCTCATCTCAGTATTTTCTCCAGATCAGAAATGCTTTTTCTTTAACTGGAAGAGGGATTTATTATTCTTTATTTTATTCAGATGTTCTTTGTATCTATCGAGTTTTGTAAATGTTCCGTATCTACTTGAAAAGACCCCACGCACGCACTGTAATCAGGGAGTTGAATTCCTGCCAGATATCAATTTTGTGTATTTAGGTAGAGTAAGAGTTTATTTTCTTAAGGCTTTTAGATAATGATGTTTTAAAATCTCCTCCTACAATTCTGTTTTTAATAGTGTTTGATTTCAGCATCTTGTTGTCAGTTTCCTTGGCAGCTATAGATTTGTATCTGCGTGTCTTCATTATTAGCAGCACTTGTGACTATTGTGTAGTGTTCTCTTTATCTTAAAAGCATCATACTTTTTCTTTTGGCCCCGAATTTTGTTCTTCCAAACATTAGTATTGTTATCATTGCTTACCTTCTGTTCAAGTTTGATTAAAGCTTCATTTTTCTAGCCCAGCAATTTTGTTTTCAGATCTTAAAAGTAATGTACACTCTTTGGAGGAAAATTTGAATGTGAGAAAAAGCAAATATAATCGCAAAAAAAAAATATGAGGAGACTAACCAGAGGCAACTGCTCATTCATTCATGCCCTCACGCTCCTTTTAAATGCGCATTTTACATAGCTAAGATCTTATAATAGGAACAAGTAAAGGTCCTGCTTTTTTTCCCTTGAACTGGGAAACATAATCTTTTCCTTTTTTATTAAAATGCACTACAAACATCAACTTAATTAGGTCTCAGTGGTCCATACTTGGACTATAGGAGATGTGATTGAGAAATACCACATATGTTTACATTTTAAAAAATTTATTACAATAAAAGACTAATAGGCATGAATCCCCCTAAATATCATCCCATCACTTCAAACATACCCCATAGCTCTTGTCACTTTCTGAAGCAGTTAATAGTTTACGTTTACAGCAATTTCTGTCCAATAAAAATGTCACTCAGTGTCCTCACCCATCTTATTCACCAGATGGGGCACCATGTGGCTTCTGGCTCTTCCCCAAAGTCACAGTGGCCATGAAAGGGAAACGTTTTGAATCAGTTCAGGACATGAAGGCAGCCACGAGAGCGCAACTAAAAGAGATTTCCAGCCCAGTGTTTGCTTACCTGTCCTGCTTGTATCTGGGCTTTTCTTTTTTCAGATTTTTATTTTTATTAGTATGTATTTGCAGTACATAATGACGACATTCTTTGTGGGTTTTGGTACATGCACATGTCACATTTTAATTCTTTTTATGTCCCCCCCTCCTCTCCCTCCATCTGTTGGTCCCCTTTCCATTTGCAAAAGAAAACCCACCTGTTTCCTATTATCTACCTTTTATTTTGCTCTATGTTTATCCTTTGAATTTCTTATACCAAAGAAACCACGTGATCTTTAAGCTTGTGTGTCTGGTTTGTTTCACTTGGCATTATGGTCTCGAGATGCATCCATTTTTCCTACAAATGACTCAAATTCATCCTTCTTTCTAGCAGAGTAGTACTCTGTTGCATGGAAATACCACATTTTCTTTATCCATTCATCTGTTGATGGATATATCAGCTGCTTTTATAATTTAGCTGTTAGGAGTTGTGCTGCTATAAAAGTGGATGTGCAGGGGTCACAGTAGTATGATGTCTTTAACTCTTCTGGGATGATACCCAAAGTGAGCATTTGGACTTTCCTTCACATCTGATGCTGTTGGCAGCTGCTTCTCTCCAGTATTTCTTTTCCCCGTGCCTCCTTTAACCTTCTGTGGCCACCCTTCCTGTCTGTTGGCTCTCTGCTTAAATTGGGATCCCCCAAGACTCTCAGCCTCAGGACCCACTGCTGGGTTTCCTCCTCAGCGTGTGTCCTAATGATTCCCAAATCCCCCTTCCCAGTGCAGAACGACCCAGCCTCCCTGGGCTTCGAACACAAATGTCCTTTGTCTCCCAGACCATTACCCAGGCTCCCTCAGACACTGTAGTTCTGTTGGTCCCACGGTGAACCTGTCGTTCTCCCTCCTTTCTCCATTACTGGTCTCAGCGAAGGGTGCCACCCTCTGCTCAGGTACCACTGAGTCAAGGCCACAGAAGTCTTTCTGTCCCTTCCTCCTTCCTCTGCCTCCAGCATCCACTTGGAGAACCCTGCCTGTTTGGATTCTTATACACTGGGTCTCTAGTCAGGTCCTCACCATCTTTTCTCTTGTCTTCCTCTTTGTGGGGTTGGTAGGGAAATTCGATTGCTGAGAGTTGCATTGGCCATAATTCTTGGGATGGAGTGGTCACCCATAATTTTGATTTGCATTTCCCTAATGACTAATTGAATACCTTTCCAGGGGCTCATTTGCCATTAGTCTGTCTTCTTTGGTGAAATGTCGACT